ATATATATATATATATATATATATAATATAATTGATAAATATGATGTATAGATAAAAATAACATACATAATTAATTTTAGATCCACTTTTTCTTTTAATTTTAAAGAGATTGATTTTAGTGAATTAGAAGAAAAATTAATTCATCAACTTTTCTATCTTTGTCAAATATAGTGTTTATCTATCCCTCTAACTTTTCATTCTTTTATTTTTATTGTACCAAACGAAATATAAGTGTCGACTGACTAAGAAAATTGTGTAACGTATTTGAATTTAATTTTTGCTAGTTCTAATAATAACTTGGTAGACTTGATAGAATTGTCAAATAATTTGATTAACACAAATTCAATTAAATACCATATGAATTCGCTAAACAGTGATTATACATATCACATGTCCTGTTAGAAATAATTATAAAAGAGTTAAGTGTATATGGAATAAATTTTAACACCACACAGTTTAAATTCCACATAAACCCATGGCCGTAGCTACCCCAGATGGCGAAAGCTTGTCACGCTGATCAACAGATGGAAACAGAGATATATTGGAGTGGATAGCGACGAATCTATTGAAGTTTTGCCCTATGGACATTCATTTGGTCCATACAATACTAACGTTACGACGTACGTTTCAATTGAGACTCACACTCATTGATCCGTTTAATTAGGAGTACGGTACGGTGTGAAGCGGAGATGTCTGTACCCACTTAGAATATGTTTACACTGCTAACATTCCACGCGGTTTGAAAGGCTAATGTAGCACACTATTGACTTGTCGTTCTTTTATTTTTCTAAACACGACACTAATGAAACGGGTGTTTCGTCGTGATACAATTAATAAATTAATTAATATAAATAAAATTAATTAAATAAATAAATAATATAAATATATCGATTATATATAAAACATGATATAAATGATATAATTCGTTATTTATAAATAAATCGAGTACATGTGTAATATTTTTTAATACAAACTCGATAAGATCCGACATAAACTCATATTACCCGCCACGATTCACGGGCCTAATTTTTTTAACTCTAATGACTGTCTTGTGGTGTTATACAAAATTTGTTGGATCCAACTCATTGCTAACGTACCTCGAGAATGAAAGTTAGAGAATCTAAGTTTGAAGAAAAGTTTTCATTTGAAATAGAGAGAGACTATTAAATCAGTCAGCTCAATTTTGAAAATTTATTGACGGGAATATGTTTTCACAAACTTGCAAAATTGTTCTTTAAACTAATGAAGCTGTTGATCATTCTCACTTAATTAAATCGAAAAATAAAATTTTGATGTTGTCCGAAACACGAACACATGTACACTGAAATTGATTGAAAAATAAAAATTGCACACGTAGTGAGTTTTTATTCGTTCAAAAATAAATATACGACACAAAAAAAAGTATTTTTTTTGGTGCCATGTTAAAACTCATAGAATTGCCGACGGATTAACGCGGTCAAAAGTACATGATTAGTGCGTGAATATTAAGGTAATAAGTGTTGCATGATCCGATGCAGTAATTACCTGTCTTTATCACAGGGATTGGCACACAGGAATTACGAGGAAGATGACTCATCCTCAAAACAAAAACAAATATATTTGGTTTAGTTTGTAATAATGGCATGTCTTCCTTCCTAATCAGCTCAACGCTGGCTGGGACCATGTGCATGAGCTATCTTCTTATCCATACCTAACATACATTGGCTAATTTTATTTCTATCACCATTCTGACTCTAACCAACAAAAATAAATAACAAATGAATAAGGATAAATTTTGTTGATGCACAAATTAGATTTATACACTATTTGTCAATTGATAAGTAAAAAATTCAGTAATTGATAAGTAAGAGATAGAGACAAAAGAAAGACAAAGTTTATAGTGGTTCGGTCATGTCACGTCCACTTTGAATGACTAGAATCGTCAGATATTTTATTAACTCAACTGTATAAAGAGAACAGAGAGTTACAAGATATAAGAGGAAGAGGGGACATGTGTTCGATTGAGTGTGATGCTCCCAAGTGTTGGCAGGACTTACAATTTATAGTCGCCTCATAACGGATTGTGGTGACTTAATAGTAATTAAATAGCTAATCTAGTGGTCATAACTGATTGGAGCGACTTCTTCTCAATGGGCGAGACAGTTATAATACTCTCCCTAGTACTCGATCAAAAGATGAGGTGAAAGTTAACTCTTTCCAAGACGGCGAGAAGGAGGCCTTGGATGTCCTTGCGTGCTTCCTGCTGATGTAGCTCCTTAGGCTTGACCGGGTTGACCACATTGGGCTGGACTTGGCGAATCTCTTGGAGTTGGACTATTAATTCAGAACAGGCTTATAACATGAATTGAGCCCTTGGCTTGGCCCATCAAATTTTATATTTATAGCAGAGGGATTTTAAAATATTAGAAGTCTTCCTATAACTAAAACTTCCATAATGGGGTGTGGCTAATTTTCAACATGAGAAGAAAGAGCAATGCTATAAATACAAAATTTGAAGACTCAATCAGAGACTAAATTCATAATAGTTGTTGTATTAGTTTTGTATAGGCCATAAAACTTGGACACATGGACCAATCACTAGCGAACATGTGGTATTCCGATGAACAAGTGATAACCTGATGTATAGGGATGACAGCGCACTGAAGAAAAATAGGTATTCGTCTAAATCCTCTCCGTTTGGACTGGGGATGAACTATACGTATTGAAATGTGGACGTATACAAGAATATCCGTATAGACCCGTACGAGGATAAAGGTAGGAATGAACTTACCTTTACCCCTGCTTCGCCCCGCCCCCGCTACATGTTATATATATATACTCTCAAACTCTAACTAAACATATTTACTGTAACTACCAATCTAGAAATGTGGTAATCAAACTAAAAAAGTGGTATTACTATGTGGTAATCTTATCAATTTTTTTTCTTAATTGTTCTTTTTTCTATTTGTGCTCACTGATTGAAATTGTTAGGAGTTTGGATTGACCATGCTCTAAAAATATATAAGAGAGAGTAAGATAACTTTGCATTTCATCGAGGGTAGAAATATTATAAATGGAGGTTACTGAGTTTCTCTGTTAAAATGAATTAAGAAATGAGAAGAATTATTGAATTAGCAAAATTTTAAGTTTTCATCTTTTAACACTTTATGACTGTAATATGAATTGTAATAATAAAAATTCTTTTCAAAAATTTCAAGTGTAGTGCTATTATTTTTTTTGTTCAATTTTATTTTTCTTTTCTTCATTTCTTTCTAATAGTTTCGTTTCTCTTTTTGTGGTTCAATGACACTTTAAATAGAATACTATATTTTTTTGGCTTTTATATTTTGTAATCTACATTATGTTGTTTTAGACTATGTTAGAATGTTATTGGATTATTTAAAATATTAAATTTATTTAAAATTTTAGATTATGCTACTTGGGCTTGGGTCAGGCGGGTACGAAGGAAGCAGGGACGGGAACGGGGGATTAAAATTTACTCGCGGACGAAGATGGAAATGAAAATTATATCCTTTAACGCGGGTAGACCGGGGATGGACGAAATTTTTTTAAGCGGGTACAGGGATGAAGACCACACTCTTGGCCCCTGTTTCAGCCTACTGACATCCCTACTAATGTGACGAGATCACAGCCTTCATCGAGTAATAGTGACCTTGCCCCAGAGGTGAGTAGTATCACGAATATAGAAGGTAACATGGAGAGACAAAGTCTGTTCTTCACCGAGAGAGTCATAGACAAAGTCTGTTCTTCTCCGAGAGAGTAATAATGCAACATAACATGACAAGCACACATCTATATAATAAAGTACAATATCATTAAAATATCAAAAGATATACAAAATTATTTTTATTTTTTGCAGTTAAGATCTCTTTAAATTTTATTTTAAAGTTAATGTAACGGCTAATATTAATATCTCAAATTTAATAAAGAAAATAAGCTCTTAAATATAAATATGGTGGGGTGGGGATGGGTGACAGTGGCTGGCTGCAATGGTGGGTAATGATGGGTGGTGGTGGATTGTAGTAGTAGGTGACAGTGGGTGTTGGGCAATAATGGTAATAGTGGGTGTTGATGATGAGCGACTGTGGTAGTGTGATGATGATAGTAATGTTAATAAATGTAAAAGTGCAATGACGATGGTGGTGACTGGTAGCAGTGGACAATGGTAGTAGTAATCGATAGTGAGTGGCGATGGTGATGGTGGTGGTGGGGGTGACAACGGTGGTGGCAGCGACAATGGTGATGGTGGTGAGAGTAGTTTTGGTGGTGGGGGTGGTGGTAGTAATGGTAATGGTAATAGTGATGGGACAATGAGGGTGGTGGTAGTAGTAGGGCGATTCTAAACACTATTTTTTTTTAAAATACTTGTGAGAAATTATAAGTTGTAAAAGTACTTTTAAAAAATACCTCAAATACATCCTTAGAGACCTATTTTTTTCTATTAAATTTGGGGCATAAATATTTGTCGTCAAATTAATTTTAAAGTAAAATTTAAAGAGATTTTAACTGTAGAAAACAAAAATTATTATTATATTTTATTATATATTTTAAATTAAAAAATTATAATTAATTAAATTCTCATCTCCGAATTAAATCGAAATCACATTTTTCATGAAAATGCAAGTAAATACAATAATACATAAGAGGAATCCGGCTAGCATGCACAGGGCCATGGACGCGTGAATCTCATGGTCTGCTTGGACAGAGTTGAACCTTTCACCTTCAATCTCATGCCCAAGTGGCCTCAACTCGTCCTCAACAGAAAAATATGTAGAGTTAGTAGCCCCACCTCCTCCTCATTCTCTCTCTCTCTCTCAAACATGTTGTTTCATGCGTGTTTGGTCATTGCATTGCTGCCCCCGATGTTAAACAAATGGCACAAACGATGGCGGCTTCAGCTGAATTATTACAAACTACCAAATGAATAACACGCCCCCACAAACACCCACCCACAGAGAGAGAGAGAGAGAAAGAGAGTACCAAAAATTATGCAAAAAATAAATAAATTGAATAGAATTCAACAACCATTACAAAATAGAGAGTTCATACTCTGTATATACCCAAAAAAAAAAAATGTCAATAACCCTGAAGATTAACAAAAAAAAATTACAAAAAAGGAAGTAAGTGCTTAAGATTCCAATCAATTTCCTATTGGCCCTAAATCAAAATTCCAAAATTGATAATCTAATGATTTTAAGAAATTTCAATTTTTGCCGGCAGCGAAAGACGAGATTTTTTGGTCGGATGAGGACTTTCAACCTCGTCGTCGCCGAAACCAGTCCAAAATTCCGGCAAAGCGGGCATGTTCAGGTCAAACCCACGGTGGCTGTTGGTGGACCCCACACCTTCCGACGTGGTTGCTGCGCTGTTGGCACCGCCGTTAGCAGCTACACCGCCTTCATAGTGACACCTCTTGTGTCCTCCCAAAGCCTGGCCAGTTGGGAAACACTTGTGACAGATGGAACACTCGTGGATCCTGCCACTACCGCTAGTGGTTGTGACGTTGGTGGTGGTGGTGGTGGTGGTGGAGGTGGTGGTGGTGGAATTCTCATCTCCACCTCCGCCGGCGAGTTTTCGGTGACTGGCCTTGTGACCTCCTAGAGCTTGGTAAGACCCAAAAGCCTTGTCACAAACTGAGCACTTGAACAAGAGCTTTGATTCGGATGGTGGTGCTGACGGTGGCAGCGGCGGTGCCGACTGGTTTCGCTTGGAGGCGGTGGTGTTGGAAGCGCCGCCACGAGCTAGCATAATTAGGCAGAGAGCAAGATATTCTTCTTCAGTAGGTGGGTGGTCCATACTACGTGGTCGTTTGGAGCGCTTCCCTTTAGCCCAGGGCTGCTCAAGATAGCGAAGATGGGATTCCTCATACTGAAACGAAGGTGTTGGTGTAGTGGGTGAGTTCAAAGCTTCAAGAGCCATTAGAGAGAGAAATTGAATCAACAGAGAACTAAAACAACAGAAAACCTCACTGGATCACAGATAGAGTTGTGTGTGAGAGAGAGAGGGATTTTCGTAGAGATAGAAATGATGAGAGCTGTGGAAGTTGAGTGTGAGAGTGAGAAGGGGGGTGTGGTGGGTATATAAGGGGGCGGGAGGGGGGGGGTGGAGAGAGCTAGAAGGAGAGGGAAGTTGCGTGTGAAGTGTCAAGAAAGTAAGAGGGTTGCCCAGCGGGAGGGGGGGGGGGGGGGGGGTGGAGAGAGCTAGAAGGAGAGGGAAGTTGCGTGTGAAGTGTCAGGAAAGTAAGAGGGTCGCCCAAGTAATTTTGAAGTTTGAAAAATAAAATACAAGTACATGCATGTTGGTATAGAAAAATACAAAGGGAGTGTGGGAGCACGTTTGAGTTGAGTTTTCTTATAGACCAAGTTGTATCTAGTGGACTGAAGTCGGCTCAAGATAGCGGGGAAAGTGTGTGCGCATGTGAAAGCGAGAGAGGGTCCTATCTCAAAGTTGTAAAATTGAGATGTTTAGGATTGAATTTTAATAATTTATTGAGAATAAATCACGAGAAATTTATTCTTATTTTTTATTAAATTAAGAAAAAAATTAATCAAAAATACAATCCGAATAAATTGAAAAAAAAAAAAAAGAGTGGAGCCCACCGGGGTATATGGACCTTTTGGGGGAAGAAAGTATCGACAGAGCAAAGATGGTAGACCAAAGACTGCTTCCAAGTCAAAACAAACGCGGTACTCATGACTTTCTTCTATCTTATTGAACACTCAAAGCAGCCAACAGCCACCGCAGCCGGCCCCTAATGGAAGGTACGCTTAGTTAATTTAATTGTGAGGTTTTACCAATTCAAACTAAATCTAGGTTTAAATTTATATAAATAAGAATTGGATTATGGAGTTACATAAGTCTAACTTAGAATTTAGATTGATTCTAAATTCCTTTTCTATCATCGTCTCAAGATTTTAGAATATTTAGAATTTGAGACACCACTTGAGCACTATTGACCTTAAATTGGGTTTAATTTTTTTTTTTTAATTTTTAATGAACATGCAAATATAGAATACATAAAGTTTTAACCAAGCTTAATTTAGGTATTGAACTATTGATAATTATTTGAACATAAAATATCAAATCACAGAAATATTCAGTATGTCGATATTTGACATTTCAAGTATATTGAGAAAGTATTACGAGGTAGAGTCTAAAGAAAGACAGAAAATAATCAATCACAAATATATTTAAAAAGAAAAACAAAATAATTAATTGGAAGTTACTGATCAAATAGCTGTGATGAGAGCGAATTTGTCGAAGACAATGACTATAAAAAGGACATTTAATGGAGAATACATGATATACTCAAACTCCCCAAAGACCCACGATCTGAACATTGTTAGGAATAGTTTTAGATTAGTTTTAAGAAGCAATTAGTATTGTAATCATAGTTATTTATTCAGTCTTTCTGTAAACGAGATTGAATTAATAAATGAATATTCTTTTATTAATTTTTTGCAATCTGTTTGTTCACTGTTTTTCATCCAAGGAAGTTCCAAAACAATACATTCGAACCCTTTACAAACAGTCACTTGAAAATTGTGTATTGATTAGAATATATTTGTCGATTTCAACAAATTTTAGAGCAACAATAGTATATGTCCAAGTAACAAAAATTTCGAACCAAATTTGGGTTAGGTTCAATTTGACCCATCCAAATTGCCCCTAGTTTTAAGGATCTTACTTTTTAAAAAAAGGGGGGTTTTTTAAGGACCTTCGTTTACTTCCATTTGGGTCGTCTTTTAAATAGGTAAAGCACCATTTGGCTCATCGGTATAACACTGCATCTACACACATGCATGCACCTTCAAAGTTTGGTGCTGTTTGGCACATGGTACAAATGAAGAAATGGTGGGTGAGTTGGATATGGACATTGTCATAGTCCAATGTAGCTTTTGATTAATTTAATGGGAAAAATACATGACAATTCGGATAAGAACTTTGTTCATATACATCTCTTATACTGTTTATTAAGTAAGCACCTACCTCATTGATGTTACCATTCAATGGGCTAGCATACAGGGGATTAGCTGAGTACCTAAAATATTATAAGGAATGAGTGTTGTAATATCCATACAGAAATGGGGATAAATGTTTTGCGATTGTTTATTTTTATTTTTTTAATTTCTTTTGTGGGGGAAGTGGTTAATATGTGTTAATTAGTCTAGTAACTCAAATGTTTATTATCTTTTGAATGGTGGATGAGTGGGTTTTATTAAAAAATTTGATGGGATTCATTCATTCAATAGATGATGTGCATTTGAATTATAATTTTTTGGTCTATTTGGATTATGTAGCGTTATTCGGGTTGATATAAAGATGTTGACTAAATAAAATTTTTTGACCTAAATTAGAATCGTACACTATATTAGAATTATAAAAAAAGGAAAACAAAATTCAGTCACATTAATATTTTTCTTAGTTAGCATAACCACACGAGGGTCATATCATTTAGTTTTACTTTTTGATCAAACCTTTTATCTAGAACCCCATTATACATTTGAGAATTGTGGATTTTAAACTTGAGAGTGCTTGAAGAAAAACAATTAATCCTCAAATTATGACTCTTGTGTTAATTTAATTTTTAAATTTTTTTTGTGTAAATTAAACCCATAAACTCTTTAATTGTGTCCATTGAGTCTTTTGTGTCATATGATCACGTGAGTGACACACTCTAATGAAAGCAGACAAAAGGGCTTAGTTGACACAATTATAAAATTCAGAGGCTTAATTGATACCCAAAAAAAAAAAAAATTCAGGAATTTAATTGACACAAGGATCATAGTTTGACGGTTATATATATATAATTTACTCAAACAAATAAATCAAGAGTAAATAACTGTTGGATACACTGTTTTGGCGCCTACTTTGTTTGATTTTGACAATGGTTGTAAGTCAGAAATAAGGTATCAACATTATAGCGGTCGCTCAATAGTAGAGATGACTACTATCACCATGCTATATGGTATGAGCATACTTAAAAACAAGCTAGACGAAAGGGGTGACTCCATATCGAATAATTGAGAATTATTAAGAGACCATGATGAGTTTGGTTTTAAAAAAAAGTTACGAAGAATTCTTTTGAATATGAGAAACACACAAACAACACCCCCCCCCCCCCCCCCCCCCCTTTCCCCTTCAAAAAAAATAAAAAGTCGCAATAACAGTCAAACAAAAAAAAAAAAATAGGTGAGCTGGGACGGAGAAACTCCAATCATACCAAAATCAAATTGGACTCTTAAATTGAATTTTCACCAAGGACTGGTGTTAAGTGAGGCCTCTAGGAAATTCAGTTATCTATCTCATCAAACGTTGACCCAAAAAAATAAAATAATAATTCTCATCATACATAATATTTTTCTTTCTCCCCTGGTTCGGTTCTTGGATTTCCTCTCTGGTTGGCTTTCTAGAACCCTAAGGAACATCCAAGAAACATCCAGACCATTCCTATTACAAGTCAACCATGAATAAATATCTCAGCAGCCCCATGTTCCACTCTTCTTAATTGTTGTTGATAGTCTAGCCTGTCCCAGTTGAGAGAGTTTAGCTCATATAATGAGAAGCATCCTTGGGCTAGCTAACAACCTCTTGGCCATCTGTTAATTGCAAAATTTTCTCAATTTTAATCAATTATCAAACTTAAAAGGATGGTGAGGTTAGCGGTTGGCTTAATAGTTATCATCTCCTGGTGTTAAACTTTACAGTCGTAGGTTCGAACTTCGTCTCTCCTTTCCTGTAATAATACTAACAAAAAAGAAAACAACTTAAAATGACGGTAACTATTCTTGCAATTGAGTGACATATTATGGTTATGAGTTCAAGAACCATCATTTTTAGAATAAGCGTTAATGATACCTTAAACAAGCTCTAGTTGTGAGCTCAGGTCAGGAGGTCAGGAAAGACATGAGAAACTCAGAGAACCAGGGGTGAAGCTCCTCTTGGGGAGATTGTAGCAGAATCGACTAGGAAATAGCTGGATGACTGCGAAAATTGGGCCTCATGCATGAAACTCTCAACCAACCAAGATTCTCTCCTAAAATCAAGGAGGATCTCATGAATAATGTGCAAAGATCTCGGCTGAAATCCCACAGAATAGTAGGCAGCCTTATAAATACTATGTAATACCTCATCGAGAGGGAGAGCAAAAAAAAGAATCCTAATTAGGTTATGCACTGTCTTGTATTACATTCAAATAATCAATAGAAAAGAAAAGGAGCAAAAGCCTCCATTTAAGAGTGGATTAGCCGAGCTCTAGAGCCGGTGAACCACTATATTCCTACTGTGCAAATTTCCCTATCCCCTAAGAAACACTTCATCACTGTTATTACAAAGTTGGCATCCTAACTTCACCATTGGTCCCATGCACTCTGTTCACCCACATTAGTTTGCACCATCAGTTTGGTGCCGTCTGTGGGAACAACTGTTCCTGTTACAAATAAGCTGACCTTTCAGTGACTGATGGTGTCAACACGAAACATGAGTAGAAGCCAAACAAATCCATCTTGGATGCAGGACCAACAGGGAGCCACTAATGGCAGACAGCCCGAGAACGTCTTAGAAACTGATCCTCCCATGGGGAATCCCCCTACAAATAACGAGATGGAGGCCCTTCGCCTCGTCAATCAACGCTTGATAAAGCAAAACGAGAAGCTCTTACAACGCCCACAAGAGGCACATTCGGCCCAAGAAGGTCAAAACAGTGGCCATTACAGAGATCAACAACACCTTGATCCACTCAGAGAAGACAACGAAGGAGGGAAGAACAGCCAGACCTTGGGGCAAGTTCCACAACTACCCCCTAGGAACGGCCATAATGAGGAAGTACAAAGTCAAAACCATAAAAGTGAAAAAAATGATGTCTTCCCTTATCAGCAGGAGAAAATGGAGCAATATTGGGAGCAACGTTTCAAGAGCATCCAATAGGAGCTCAGCCATATAAAAGAAGCGGTCAGAAGTAAAGCTCCAATTACAATAGATGTCTTGGTGTAGCAGACTGAATCTTTATTCACGCCTGGGGTGTTGCATTTTTCTCTCCCAACAAAGTTAAGGATATCACAAATAGAGTCCTTTGATGG